CCCCAGGGGTTTGCATCAAATATTGTGTGATCAATCAATCAATCAATCAGCATTTACAGTTAGGTCCATATATATTTGGACAAAGACAACATTTTTCTAATTATGGTTCTGTACATTACTAAAATGAATTTTAAACAAAAACTTTAATTCAGTAGGTTGAACAAAATGATTGCATAAAAATGTGAGGAACTAAAGCATCTTTTAAACACAATCTCTTCATTTCAGAGGCTCAAAAGTAATTGGGCAGATTAAATAATTGTAAATAAAATGTTCATTTCTGGTACTTGGTTGAAAATCCTTTGTTGACAATGACTGCCTGAAGTCTTGAACTCATGGACATCACCAGACGCTGTGTTTCCTCTTTTTTAATGCTCTGCCAGGCCTTCACTGCAGCGCTTTTCAGTTGCTGTTAGTTTGTGGGCCTTTCTGTCTGAAGTTTAGTCTTTAACAAGTGAAATGCTGCTCAGTTGGGTTGAGATCAGGTGACTGACTTGGCTATTCAAGAATATTCCACTTCTTTGCTTTAATAAACTCCTGGGTTGCTTTGGCTTTATGTTTTGGGTCATTGTCCATCTGTAGTACAAAACAACGACCAATCAGTTTGGCTGCATTTGGTTGGATCTGAGCAAACAGTATGGCTCTGAATACCTCAGAATTCAGTGGGCTGCTTCTGTCCTGTGTCACATCATCTATAAACACTAGTGACTCAGTGACACTGGCAGCCATGCATGCCCAAGCCATCAATCACACTGCTCTGCTGTGTTTTACAGATGATGTGGTAATGCTTTGGATCATGAGCTGTACCACACCTTCACCATACTGTTCTCTTTCCATCATTCTGGTAGAGGTTGATCTTGGTTTCATCTGTCCAAAGAGTGTTCTTCCAGAACTGTGCTGCTTTTTTAGATGTTTTTTAGCAAAGTCCAGTCTAGCCTTTTTATTCTTGAGGCTTATGAGTGTCTTCCACCGTGCAGTGAACCCTCTGTATTTACTTTCATGCAGTCTCTTCTCTTTATGGTAGATTTGGATATTGATACTTCTACCTCCTGGAGAGTGTTGTTCACTTGGTTGGCTGTTGTGAAGGGGTTTCTCTTCACCATTGAGATTATTCTGCCATCATCCACCACCGTTGTCTTCTGTGGGCGCCCAGGTCTTTTTGCATTGATGAGTTCACCMGTGCTTTCTTTCTTTCTCAGGATGTACCAAACTGTGGATTTTGCCACTCCTAATATTGTAGCAATTTCTCAGATGGGTATTTTCTAATTTTGCAGCTTAAGGATGGCTTGTTTCACCTGCATTGAGAGCTCCTTTGTCTGCATGTTTCATTCACAGCAAAACCTTCCAAATGCAAGCACCACATCTCAAATCAACTCCAGGCCTTTTATCTGCTTAATTGAGAATGACATAATGAAGGGATTGCCCACACCTGTCCATGAAATAGCCTTGGAGTTAATTGTCCAATTACTTTTGGTCCCTTTAAAAATATGGTGGCACATGTTTAAGGAGCTGAAACTCCTAAAATCTTCATCTAATTTTAATGTGGATACCCTCAAATGAAAGCTGAATGTCTGGACTTTATGTCCATGTACATTATATAACTATAACTTGAATATGTTTCAGTAAACGGGTAAAAAGACTAAATTTGTGTCAGTGTCCAAATATATATGGACCTAACTGTATTTATAGAGCCCTTTACAATAGCTGAGAGGTGCGCAAAGTGCTTCACAATGCAAAAGTTAAAACAACAGTAAAATAATACAGAAGCCACTAAGTATTAAAATAAGTCCTGAGGAAGTTGGTTCCACAATCTGTGTGCAGAGACAAGAAAGAAAGGCCAATGGTCCAATCACTCTGTTTGTATTTGGACTTTGGGACAGAGAGTAAAGACGTATTAGATTATCTTAAGGTCTGCTAATGTAAAGCTACTATATCAGCTAAACCAAGACATTAAAATCTTTAAAAGGTGGTGAACAATGAAAGCTTAAAATCAATTCTAAAGCAGACTGGAAGCCAGTGGAAAGAGAATAAAACTGGGGTGATGTGCTCACATCTGGGAGCGTTCGTTAAAATACGAGCTGCAGCATTTTGAACAGTAGTCAAGCATTGAGCTGATAAAAGCATCAATGACATTTTCCAGGTCAGAGCGATTAAAAAAAAAAAAAGGCTCAACTTTGGCTAAAAGTCATAACTGAAAAAAAAATTGGGCTTGATGACAGAGACTATTGTTTATCAAGTTTTATTTGTCCTAAATGTGAAGCAGGAGTGGTTCATGCAGCTGAGCTGCTCAGGAACCAGTGTGGCTGCAGTCACGCTGCAAGTATTAGCTGCAGCCTGAGAACTAACATCAGCTTCGGAGGTTTAATATTCACAGCATGACCACTAATCTCTGCTGGACAAAGGTGAGATTTGGTCATAAAACAACAGCAGACACCCTGAAATTAAATATTGTTCTCCTTCTCTTAACTAAACTAATGCCCCTTTTCCATGGTGTAGTGTCGGAACGGTCGGTGTTGGTACGGGTCTGTACGGTTCAGACCGGTTGGTTTCCAATGGTGTTCCAGTCCGGTTCCAATGGGTGTGTTTTGGGTGGTTGGTGGAGGTGGTTTTTAGGTATTTAGAAAAAAAATTAATGGGTAAAATGAGAGATGGAAATACATTTGATGAATAACTTTTGAAATTTTAAACATTTGCAAAAATTTAGTCAATCAGTGACGAACAGTGTTCTGACGTCACATTTTGGTGTCAGCTGGGGCTGGTTGGAACCACAATGAAGTAGCTAACTAAAAAAAGTGCCGGTTCCATGGATCTGGCCTAATGGAAATGGCTTGGAACCGTACCGAACCGTACCAACACTACACTAAGTGGCACTAGTGGAAAAGGGGCTTAAGCTTCCATCTCTGTGACTGTCAGCGCTGGACCAGAAGGAATTAAACTGATTTAGACGACATGCATTTGCTCCATTCTGTCCACAACAGTGCACGCAGGAGGAGTGGCTTCCTGGAGATTAACAATGGGGGTTCTTCTTTGAGTTTTTAAGTCTTTAAGGAAAAGAATGTCTCTCTGCTAAGTTCAGATTTCTTAACTTCTTGTGGAGATAAACTCAGCTTTAGCTATGATGCATTCAAGTAATAGACTGGAAACAGGGATTTGGGGACATCACTGAACAGTAAAGCAGGACAAGTTTAAAAAAATCAATCAGTGTTGGTCTCTCTTTGAGCCTTTGATGCTCTTCAGTCTCTTGGTTTTAAATCTAACTATTTGCAGAAAAAACAAATCATGATCAAGAACAAGCCTGAAAGGGATCCCTTATTAGTTGTAACATTAGACTTTATTTGATAAACATACAGTATATTTTAACTGTAAAATAAAGACTGTAAAAATACTGTAGGCTGTTTAATTTTGTAAATTTTTAAAAGTATATTTAAACACGGATGGAGCCATTTTATTTACACACAAAGCATTCTGGGTAAATGACAACGTGGACAGGTCCTTGGTGTGAGCGAGCTATATCCACCCTGAAGGTTAATCTTGTACAATATCTGATGATCGACTCTTTTAAATGAAACCAGAGAGCGTTGACAGAGAGGAGAAGGTAGAAATGACTCAGCCTGTAACTGAAAATATAGATGGAGGACAACAGAGCTGCTTCATGGAAGAAGAACCTCAACTTAGCCTGCTAGCCTTTGCACTAGCACCCAATTGCCTTATATGTATTAGCTTGGTGCTAGTGCGACAAACAAGCTAAACTGAGGTCCTCCATCCATGAAGCAGCTCTGTTGTCCTCCATCTATATTTTCAGTTACAGGCTGAGTCATTTCTACCTTCTCCTCTCTGTCAACGCTCTCTGGTTTCATTTAAAAGAGTCGATCATCAGATATTGTCCAAGATTAACCTTCAGGGTGGATATAGCTCGCTAGCAGCCTCGCACAGAGGACATATCCACGT